TCAGAAGCAGTCAATGCATTTCTAATTAAATCAAGAGCTTTTGCTAACGTTAACCAGTCAAGCACTTTCGTTCCTTTACTTTGATGGTTATCCTATAGAAGTTTTGTCTCCACTTTGTGTTTCTTCTGCAGAGTTCCTGAGTCACTTTGGCTTGGAGCTTCTGAGGTGTAAAATCTTGTTTGTTGGAATCAACCCTTTGAAAATTTTGTCATGCCTCAGTTTGCCTTTCAAGCAATGTCTTTATCCTGTTGAAAACTCCATGGAATTAGAAGTATCCTCACCCATGCAAATGTAAAAGCAGAATAGCTCAGAGGCAGCTATTGTTAAATCTAATTTGCCCACAAGGGTAAGCTAAGCCAATTCTTAGAGAAAAATAGATTTATCAATAAGCCAGTCTCCTGTCTTTTAATTTTTTTCATTATGCGTATGTGTCAGGATTGTGCACATGAGTGCAGTGCTTGTGGGACCAGGAGCTAGCAATAGGAGCCCCTGCAAGTGAAGTCACATGCGGTTGTGAGGTACCCAGCATTGGTGCTGCGACCTGCAAGACCATGTGTGCTCTTAACTGCCGAGCACTCTCTCCAGGACTTCATTCCATGGCTCACTTTCTTATTTCACTGCAAGTTATGGAATCAACCAGGACCTTAGCAATTTGTCAAGTTCTGAGTTATGAAGTTTAAGGATTTCTTTCCCTTATTTGGTGCTCCTACTCATATTACATAAGGTCATGTTTTACTTATCTGTTGATGTGTAAGAACCAACACAAATCTTAGGGTTCTAACACAACATCAGTTTGTTCCTAATCCCACAGTGCTGGCTGCAGCTGTGCTGTGAGCTTTTCAGCTGGTCACAGTTATGGTCTTTCGGGAGACCCTCTCCCATAAGTCTATCAGTTAAATGGCTTTGCTTCTATCTATTGCTTTTGTTCAGGAGTTTGGGAAATAAGGAGACGGGCCTGTTGAAGCCAGAACTCTGGTTCTAGCTGCTTTGGCCTCATGATCACTTCCCCTTTTTCAGTGTCTAACTTGGACTTCTTGTTACGGTGGCTAGATCTTAACAGCAAGAATTTTAAGAGAAACAAGCTCTGGTGTACCAGCATACTACATTTGTGCTTACTTCCTTCTTACTAGTACTTTATTTGTTACCCAAGGCCAAACTCAATATGGAAAGGCAGTCCGTAATGACATGAATACTGAGAAACATAGTCCATTAGAAGCCATGAAGCTAATAGCCACCTCTTGGGATTTCTAAAATATCCCTGTAAAAGAATTAATACGTCAAGATTTGTTGTTTCTGATGCTTTGAAGGATGCTGGGTTGTAAACATCAATGACCATGAAGCTTCAGCTGGGCATTGCCGTGCACTATGCAATCTCAGTATTCAGGAGGCAGAGACAAGAAGTTCTCTACTCCACACCCAACCTGCACAAAATACTGAGCCCTTTGCTCAGAAAACAAAAACAAAGCAAAAGAACACTACACAGGGACTGGATAGATTGGTCAATGGTTAAGAGCATTTGCTGCTTTTGCTGAAGACCTAGGTGTAGTTCCCAGCACCCACATCAGGCAGCTCACAACTGTTCATAAATCCAGTTCCAGGGGATCTGATGGATTCTTCTAGCCTCCAAGGCCACCAGGCAGGAAGTTGATGCAGTACATACATGAAGGCACTTCACTTTGTGTTGTTTATTATAATAATAATAATAATTGTTGTTGTTGTTTGGAGACAGGGTCTTTCTATGTAGCCCTACCTCTCCTGAACATGCTATATAGAAACTTTTTCCTTTTTAATAATACTACACAGTTTATAAATGCTGTGTTATTAGAATTTTTTTTTGAGACAGGGTTCATGTAGCTCAGGCTTACCTAAAATTTACTATGTAACCAAAAATAGCCTTGAATTTCTTATCTTTCTTACTAGCTTCCTACATCCTGCAATTGCAAGCATGTCTCCTGTTCCACCACACTCGATTGTGCAAATATATAAGCCTTTGGGAGCCATCCCCATTAAAATTACCACTATTCCCTACGATTGAGCCATGCAAACATAGGAGATAGTTTAGTACACTCAGATTCCCATTTTGCTTTGAGGCTCTGTTTCTCTCTCTCTCTCTCTCTCTCTCTCTCTCTCTCTCTCTCTCTCTCTCTCTCTCTCTCTCTCTCTCTCTCCCCTTGAAATTGTGCACCTGACGGCCCAGTTCCTACACCTGTATGTGCAATGCATATATATTCTCCTCCAAACAATGTACCTATCAATTTTAGAATAACCTCCACCTTCCATCTGCAGCTGCTCCATGTTCTTCCATATCTTAACAGTAGTGCTGGGAGTCCATAACTTCTCACCTTAAAAGGCAGGGAACTATGGCAACCAATTGTCCCAGGTATAACAGCATTGAAGAGTTTCCAGAGGTATCAGACCTTCACTTCAAAGTCCCATACAAACCAAACTGATTTGGCCACTCAATAGAAGATAGAGAATCAACTTTTTTTCCCATTCCCTTATTGGAACCACAGTCATCAGTGGGTCCGACGATTTCAAGTAAACCTTGAATGATAAAATTTCTGGGGCATTGGTAACGATCTTCTTTTACATGAGTTTTGCATAGACATTATAAGTCTCACGGGAGTACAGACACTTATCATGAGGTCACAATGTGCTTATAGCATGTCAGGACCATACTCCAGTTTGCCACATTCCCAATTGAGGGCACTTCCCGTGGCTTTCCTTTTTTCAGACAGTCTCATTTCCCATTTTATCACTCTCTTAAAATGTAAAATGAGTTCAGCTGATTTATCGTTTGGCCACAGAACTCAACTGGGCATCACTTTCAACTGTACTTCTTATAGGATGGTGATGGAAGCCTGGAGCACAACCAGCTTGAACAAGGTCTTGGCAGAGCAGTGTCTCCATGGTCACAAGGCATTCATCCCTACTTGCCATTTCTGCAGCCCACTGGGAGTGCTTCCTACATACAGCTGTTTATTTGCCTCAGTGCTACCTTTGACACAGTGAGGCATGTGAGAAGACCAAGTACTTAGTTCTTCTACAATGGTAGGCAAGGAAGTTGATCTCCCTTTAGGCTAAACACCCACAAAACTAATGACTGTTTTGCTTTTTCCTGACTTTCACCCATTTGAAGACATAGTTACAATGACTGCTCTAAAATTTAGTTAGGATATAATCTGATCATTTGTCTGTGTGAGATAGAGTGTCCTGCTCTGTCACTGATTTATCCCTTTAAGACGGGGTCTCTTACTGAATATGGAGCTAGGCTGGCAGCCAGCAAACCCCATCAACCTTCCTGTATCTACTCCTCAGAGTGTTGGAGCTATAGGCATGTGAGTGGCGACATCTGGCTTCTTATATACAAGCTAGGAGTTTGACCTTGGGACTTCATATTTGCATATCAAGCAGTCTTAAGTGCTGAGTCATCTCCCTAGCACCACAAAGGTCCATAAGATGATAAGTTCTTAGTAGTCTATACACACAATTTAGATGAGGGATATAGTCATGTTTCTACTTGAAGCTCCCATCGACACCAGCTACCCTCCTTCAAACATACCATGAAGCACAGTCTGTGCTGGAAAATGACTATTGCATTCTGGACAATTCTATGGCAAATTACCACCTCAAATATTGGTCCCTTCAGTGAGCTCCTTACTAGATTCAATGCTCCAAATTCCTCAGCCTTCAACTATCTCTTCCCCATTTGGCCCGGTGCCTGGAGTTCATGAGTAGATTAGAGAGGACTTCTATAAGGAATGAAACACTTCCAAGATGTGGCAGCATGATTGGGTACCAGAGGAAAACTGGTGTGTTGTTTCCTCCTCTCTTTTGCAGCACTTCTCTTAAGTAACCTTATGGTGTTCTTTCCTCACAGACCTGGTGGCAGTTCTTTATATTGCATAGTGGTTTTGTTTGTTTGGTAGACCAATCTGGCCTTGAACTTATAGAGATCCATCTGTCTTCCCCTCTTGAGTACTGGAAGTAAAGGCATGTACCCCCCATGCCTGACTGTCTGGTGATTTTTAAGGTCTTTGGATGTCACTTTCACTCAAGCATTTCCCATCCACCCAAGAAAATAATTGTGTATATATCTTGTCCTGGGGCTAGAGAACTGTCGAAGTCTATAAGGCATGGGCTTATAGGAGGCATAAGGACCTGAATTTGCATCCCAAGAACCCATGTAAAAAAAATGACAGTAGTTTGTCTGTTAATCCCAGCACTGGAGACAAGAGGGTTTCTGGAGCTCACTGGCCAGCTAGTATAGCCAAATTAGTGAGCTTCAGGTTCAGTGAGAGATGCTGTCTCAACTCAACCTCTGGCATTCATACCCATGCTCACACACATGAACATGTATATACAGACAGATGGGCAGAAACACACATTTGCATGCAATTATTTTGTTCCCACAAGCAAAATTTAAAGCATCACCTAACAGGGGGTGAAGGGAGTGTGCTCTAAAAGGACAGGAACCCTTTGGGGCATCCTTTAAAACAAAGTACATGGACAACTTCCATGTAGTCTCTACTTAAGGTTGGACTGCTCTAACAGATGGATAGTGAATTTCTCTACTTTGATGTATAATATACTGTAGTGATGTATAATACACTGTAGCGATGTATGAATATTTGTGTGTGGGAGTGGGCATTTGCATGCCACATTTCCATGTGGTGGTCAGAGACAACTCTCTCCTCTTTCCATGTGGGTTCCAGGGACTGAAAACTCAGGTCAGCTTGGCAACAGGTACCATCTCCCCACTCCTAGTCTTTAGTTTGGATGTGTTTGGTGGAGCAACTATGATGCCTTGTGAGAGAAGATAGCTAATAAGTCCTTCACAAAGAAAAGGCTTCAAAATGGTGAAGATGACATTTTAATTACTTCTGGCTTTCCTTTTGCAAACTGGATTGTTATCACATAGTAGCAACGAACATTCTCAGGCACTTCATCAGCAGATCATTTCATCAAGAACAGAATTTCAAAATGATGAAACTATGAAACAAAGTAGTCAGCATGATTTTATTGAAATGTCTTAGTAAACAGCACTGGATCTCAAAATTCTCTAGTCTCTAAAACCAGGGCAAGCACTGCAAGGAATATATTCCTGAATTTAGTCGACATTGTATCTAACAAAGGAAAGTTAGGATATGAACAGCTATCAGTTGACTAATACAATTTAGGTGGAGGCGAAACAACTTTTGTATATTCACATTTTCCTGGCTCCCCTTTTTGGCTAGATATGCCTAACATACTCTGCTTCCATACAGTTGGAGAGAGCTGATCTATTTGGTGATTCCCGTTACATTTCTTTACCACAAGCAGCAAGGAACATGGAAGTTCTGAATATGAAAGGCTGCTCATAAGGCAGCCTTTGTCATTTTAGCCAAACTGAAACCATCAATATTTAAAACGGTATTTCCACTGTCTAAGGCTCAGTCCAGTCTACTTAGTTCACAAATATATTCAGAAGTACTGTAAAATACTAACTCAGGCCACATAAGGACAGAAACCATTGGTTCTTAAATTCAGAGGACAGCCAGGTAGATTTTTCTGGCAGGGTTTTAAATCTTAAGATTATTATTTTAAGATCCACTGTACACATTAAGCTTTAAATATCTTAGATTAAATGATTAGCAACTGGCTTTTGTCATGCCAACAATTTGGGACATGTATACACACACGCGCGTGCACACACACACACACACACACACACACACACACACAGAGCTATCTCCATGTGGGTGTGCACAAGGATGTCTTTGTCACAGCCAAAAAACACAAGAAATACAGACATCACACATTTATCAAAAGTAACAGTTGCATCAAATCAAATAAGTTTTGACACATGTCTAGCCAAGACTGCACAGGCAGACTGTACCACAGAACATCCCAGGTGATGGGGACCACTTTCTTCAGAACAGTTACAAATAAGGTATTATCAAAATGCCAGTTTCTGTAATAACATGAATTGTACTTTGTAACATTGATTTGACTTCTGCTCCTCTGACTTCTCATGTTCGAAAGTTCTGGTTGAGTGTGCTACTCAGATGGATAGGATTTTTTTACCTGCAGAATTTAGGGCTGGGAATTTATCTATAATACTTAGCAAGGGGGGGGACTTTTTTTTTTTTAGTATTCCTAAGACTTAGGTACACAGGCAAATCCTCCTCTTTGTGAGAAGCAAAATGATAGGCTGTCCACTTTTACTGATGCTATAGAACTGCCTTTTTTGGTCTGTTTTAGTTTTATGACACACAATTTCAACTCTGCAGCCCAAGCTGAGCTGGAACTCACTGTGTAGTCTAGGCTGGCCTTTAAACTTGTGATATAGTGCTGGGATAATGGTCACATACCTCCACACTTCACTAAAAGATCGTTTTATCAAGAATGCCATCCCTAGTGAGATTCTTCTTCACAATGCTTTTGAACCATTTCTTCGAAGTTTATTTTAATGGAACACCTATTTACTTTTGCATCCACTGTTTCGAAACCCTCTCCTATCTACATTTTAGGAGCTTTAGAGATGATAACTATTAGAGGTTTAGTACTTCTGATGACATAGGGCCAAAGAACACTTAACTCAAGGTCAATTATGCAGGGTTTGAATAAGAACATTTGGTGGCACCCTTAAAACTTCCCCATTTTATGTATGTAAAAAAATAAAATGATGATCAGCCTAAAAATGAGAGGAGACTTCAAGGAGTCTTTCTTTTGGTAGACATCTACAACAAGAAATTATGGGGGAAAATGCATGAAGAGGAGTTGCATCCTAAAGAGTAATTCCCCTGCGAGAAACAAAGTTGTACATCAATGTGGCCACAAACTCACTGACTACATCCTGAAATGGTATCCAAATTACAGTGATTACTGATCATAATTTGAGAGTTTCAGGTAAGTTGACAGTTATGACATATCTTCAAAGTGGCAATTAAAAATGATACAACCTTATATTGTCTTCAATATGTCTAATATCTACTAAGAAAAGCCAGTATGTCAGTGACTACCTTAGGCTCAATAAAATTGAGTTCTGATAAAGGGCAATAAAATAAACCCAGTTATCATTAAAAAATTTTTTTCAAAATTCATGATAGTATAAATCTTTCATGGTTCTCTCTGAAGTAAAGGCTATTTAGAATTTTTCCCAAATACCCACAAGCATTATTATATATTTACACAGAAGGCTTTCATTTGAAGTCACTTTTGGCAACCTCAAAATATATGTATGACAAATTTCCACAATAGGATTTTAGGCTTAAAAGTTGTTGCCTCAAAGTACTAAAAAAGAATGAGGGAAAAGATTATTTCTCATTGATATCAGTTCATTTAAAGACCAAATAACCACCACCTTCCTCTGCCCTCCCCCAGAACTGGAAAGTAGTAGTCTTGAGCTTTAGGAGAGACAGAGGACTCTCAGAGTGTACATAGATCAGATGCTTTTGCCAGTGATCATCCTAGAATTGCTGAGTCCTAATGCTAAAACAGCAGGCAGACAAAGACAGTAAGAAGTTGGAGGCGGCTTGCTCCACCTTCAATATTCCAATCCAGACTACAGTGGGACGTGGCTGAACAGATAGGACACAGATTCCCCATTGTGGGTTCTTCGAATGGCCTCAGCCAGGATCATTGAAATGTCAATCACCTGAATAGCAAGGGAAAAAACACAAGACAGGAGTGAGTTCTAGTTCTTTAAAAGCTGAAAAGCCAGAAAGCCTACAAATGTCTTTTGCAGCACATAGATGATGTGTTTTGGTCAAACCTCCTTAGGCCATTTCTTTGGGGAACGACAAACAACTGTGGGCTTTAGCTTCAAAGACATCACAGGCAGCTGAGCCGATTACTATCAGTTCTTGGGAAGATTTTCAGTGTGGACACTCAGGGGTGCTACCCACAGATGGTCCTTTCTTGGGACATTGGCTATTTAAAACTTAGCTTTCTTTATTCATTTGCAGAGGGTCTACTCTATTTAGAAGATTTAGCAAATCTTTTCTTTTTAAGTTATAACTTTCATTTTATTTCTTAAGTTTTTACTATAATCCCAGCATCCTTTTATAAAACACGGCAATGTTTTTCATTGAATATGAAGCAAATCTTACACAATCTACCTTTTTACTTGGCTACATCTCAATTTTGAATACTAACCAATAAAAATTTAAAAATTCTATTATTTATCATCATCACCAGCATTAGTTCTCTCTCCCTCTCTCCCCACCCTCCCTCTGTGTGTGTGTGTGTGTGTGTGTGTGTGTGTGTGTGTGTGTGTGTGAGGGCACACATGTATCACAGCATGCATATGGAGGACAGAAGACAATTTTGTGGGGTCAGTTTTCTCCTTCTACCTTTAAGTGGCTTCTGGGGATGGAACTCAGATAGCCAGGCTTGTGCAGCAAGTGCTTATCTGCCAAGTCATCTCACTGGCCCCAAGAATTGTTAAAAACATTGTCATGATAAAAGCACAACCATGATCATCTTTTAACCTTGGGGCCAGCAAACTATTTTTCCTGTAAAATATCAGAAGGTTAATAGTTTTGGGTAATCTCTGCATCAAACTTTCAGTTCTTCATTGTGGTGCAAAGGCAAAGGCCACATAGAGATGAAACATGAGTATGTGTCAGTAAAACTTTAGAATACAGAGGTGGGCTAGACGTGGCTGTTGGGTAGCCGTTACTCAAGTACTACTGATCAGGCATACAAACTAAAGGGGGCTTTATTCTGACAATTTTCAAACATATTTCCTTGGGCTCAAATGACATCTTTTTTTTTTTCAGCTGGATCAGAAATCATGAAAAACACCACTGCACCTCATGTTTACTGAGGGACCAGGGCTTCTAGGAATGACTGGCCAGGGGTCACTGAAAGATCAGTTCAAAAAAGATGCTGTACTAGTGTGAAGTTACTACCACTCTGCTAGTTTGTGGTCATATAGTCAGGAGGCGCATGAAGAAGTAGGTCACTATATATGCTTAGTACAGCTGGCTGCCCTGTCCCTACTCCATTTTCAAGAGACTATATACCTACAGTAAGTCTATGTTTAACTTTGTTTTTCACTGTTGGCCATGCTAGGCAAGTGCTTTATCAAGCTATTTCCCCCATTCTCTTATAGTTTTATATTGTGATTTTATTCATTTGCTATTTCTTTTCTTTCTCTCCATCTACTATTGTTGCCAGTTGCTGTTTCATTTTGCTTGCTTGTGAGACAAGATTATGTGTAGCTCGGGTTGCTCTTATGATACTCCTGCCTCTACCTTTCAAGTACCACCCTATATAGATCATTTCCTGTTTCCTTTTTACATTGTTTTTTATTTTTTATTTTTTTTAGAGATAATGCCTCATCTCTCCTAGGATGTCTTTGAAGTTGAGGATGACTTTGAGTGCTTGATCTTCCTATATCCACCTCCTTGAGTGCAGACATTATAAGGTGTGCATCACCACGACTACTTTATTTGGTGTTGAGGCTAGAACACCCAGATTCACACATGCTATGCAAGCGCTCTACTAACAGCATTTCATCCCAGCCTCCTTTCTGCTCCATTTCCTTCTTTCCTGTCTGCATGCTTTCTCTCATTTTTTTTTCATTTGCTATTTCCAAATAATGACCATTCACCTCTCGATTCTGGTCTTTCTGAGGGATCTAATATGAATAATATTCCATTGGGGTAAGAAACTTTGGTCTTTACTAGCATCTGTCTTAGCAAACAGAAGGCCGGATAGTACTGAAAGGTCTGAAGCAGGTGCCTTGATGCATGGATCTGCCTGAGGTATACACAGTACCTGAATTTTTGAGCAGTGTTTCATTTTGTCCTCTTGTGGAATTGTGTTGGTGACAACAACAGCTTCAAAGGCAGCATTATTTATTCTGGAAATAGCTGGCCCAGAGAAGATTCCATGGGTAAGGATGGCATAAACTTTGGTGGCACCAGCTGAGAGTAACCTGCACAATAAAAGACAAAATGTTATAAAACGTAGGGTACACCTGTAACCCTCGTACTAGGGAGGCCAAGACAGGAAGATTGAGTTCAAAACAAGCCAGAACTAGTGAGAAAGGTCCCATCTCAAAAGAACTAGGTGTCCACAAATATTTAAATATTCTTGAAATATTCTACCTTGTCTCTATATTACAAGCAAAAAGTGTGCCCTATAAAAGAAAGGGTGGGACAAAATCCATTTGCATTTATTATCCCAAAATACAATCTTTTAAATGTATGTGTTAGCAAAATGCTTTGTATTCAGTTAAATCAAAGATTATCAACCCTGACACTTATGTCTATATATGTTTTTTCTCATAAGTAGTTATCTTGTCCACTGTAGGAAAATTCAGTTGCATCCTTGGTCCACACACTAACAACACTCCCATGTCCTTAAATGTGACACCCATTGACGTCTTTAGACTGTCTAGGGAACCAACTGTCCCACATTGAGAACCACTGATTTCAACCAATAGTGCCAACATATATGATAATTCATCAAGTCAGAATATTACCAGTGAGACAGTGAAAGCATCTAAAACTGTGTTCCACAGCCATGCATGGCCAAAGGAGTGGGAGAGGCTCCTAGCCTTCCAAGGCTTTGTAGCCTTTGGAAAGCCACATGAGCTATAAAGGCTAGCCTAAAGCTTGAGCTGAAGGAAGCAAGGGTGAAAACAAATAAACATCATGTCTTTCTGGGCCTGATTTCTAGGGAAGCACTTTCTCTGACTCTTTCAAAAATGATCTGAAAGTCCAACCTGAAACATAAAAAAGCCCGTAGGTTTTTGGTTGTAGTCGTGTTTGTCTCCTTTGGCCTAAAACACTGGTGTATATTCATCAGCATTAATTAAGAAAAATAGGCTAAATTTCTAACAATGGATGCTTAGTGGGTAAGTACACTTGACAAGCTATGCTCGATCCTCGTGATTCACAGTGTAAGGGGAGAATTGACTCACCAAAGTTATCCAGATACCCACCACTGTTCCATAGCATACATGCATTTTCAATGCATATGTATGTGCGAGTGTGTACACATACACACACACACACACACACACAATTTTAAAATGTTTTTCTTTCCTAAGAAGATGTTTTCTGGCCGGGCGGTGGTGGTGCACGCCTTTAATCCCAGCACTTGGGAGGCAGAGGCAGGCGGATTTCTGAGTTCGAGGCCAGCCTGGTCTACAGAGTGAGTTCCAGGACAGCTAGGGCTACACAGAGAAACGCTGTCTCGAACCCCCCCCCCCAAAAAAAAGAAGATGTCTTGTCTTTCTGAGCAATCAATCCCACGTACTTATCTGCAGCATGGCAGATGGTACCACATGTATCAGCCATGTCGTCCACCAGGATGGCCACACGGTCCTTCACATCACCCACGAGAACCATCCGGTCCACTTCATTTGCTTTCTTTCTCTCTTTGTGAATCAAAGCAAATTCCACATTCAGTCTGTCTGCAATTGATGTAACCCTGTGGAAAGAAGCAAGGGAACATCTAAGAACGTAATATTACTGGGCACTAGGCTAGGGAAATAGCCCAATAGGAAATGCTTGCCTTGGAAGAATAAGACCTGAGTTCAATTCATAGAATCCATGTCTAAAAAGCCAGGAATGATGGCACATGCCTGTAATCCTAGAACTGGGGAACCAGAAACAGGCAGATCCCTGGGTCCTGTTGGCAAGCCATGCTAGTCTATTTAGTGAACACTTCCTCACTGACAAACTCTGTTACAGACTTTTCATGAGCATGTATGAATCCCTGAGTTCCATCCCTAGCACTGAAAACAAAAATAAAATCTGTTTTTGAAATACGTATTTTAAGCATTCAGCAAGCAACCATAGTCATGATAATGAAAAGGAGTAGAACACTTGTGATACCAGGCACCATACAATCTACATGGAAGAACAGGTTAATGATGAACTCTATTGCAACTGGCCACAAATGTCAGGGCACCCTGGCAGCTGGTAAGACTGCTGGTTAGGAAACTGATACTGCATTTGTTAGGATTTCGGAGTTTGTTTAAAACTCACAGGCACACCTTAACACAAGGTGCTTAGAACTTAAACATTTTCTTGGTTTCTGGAACCAAATTAGGGACAAAAGTCTTTGGTAGCATATCCAGGCAAGCTGCAAGCTTGTGAAAAGAGGCATCATTGAGGCCTAATGAGATTCTATCCATATGTACTCAACCTGAAGTCTGTAGGCTACATGTAGCCAAGGACAACTATGAATAAGACCCAACACAAAATTGTAAACTTACTCAGAACATGAATTTTTTTTAAAAGTTTACTTTTGTTTCATATGCATGGATGTTTTGCCTGGTGTACCACATGTATACAGTGTCCATGGAATCCTGAAGAGAGTGTTGGATCTCCTGTAACTGTGACAGATGGCTGTGAGTTACCATGTAGGGGCTAGGAATCAAACCTAGGTCCTCTGGAAAAGGAACCAGTGTTCTTAACTTCTAAGCCATCTTTCAAGTTTTAAAATAACACATGAAGTTGGAAAGGAAAAGTATGTGTGGAGGTGGGGGTAGGTGCAAAACTGGAGGTGAGAGAGGGGAGTGACGATTTGATGAGGACACATTATACACATGTATGACATTATCAAACAATATAAAAAATGGGGTTTAAAACTAAACCTCGATTGCAGGGTTCTCAAATGAAAGCTTTCCACATGACAACAGAGCGTTACAGTGTCACAAGTTTGCCCATGCCCGCCTGAATCTAGTTCCTCTGCCATCCAATGTGACTTTTCATTGTTACCAATTCAGGAAAACCTGAGCACGCATGAGAAGGAGAACGGAAAATCAGGGTAGGGAGCGAGTTCACAACATTTTGGGTTTGTCTGAGAAAATAGACTCTGATGATGAAACCTCTTTTGAAACAGTGCATCAGTACAATGTGGCATTGAGGGTTTCCTTGTTTTATTTTTTAAAACTTGGTTCCAGATTTACTCCCTCACCATGGAGGATATTCATATAGAAAAGAATATCGTTCATCATGTCATCCTCAGATGACAACCAAAAAAAAAAAAAGCAGTATGTGATTGCATCAGGACAAAGTAAGTAGACAACTGTCTGAGAAAACTCACTTTTTGTGACCGAGAGGGCAGCATGACACACACAATGTTAGCACTCCACTCAGGTTACTATGCTTCAAGTCTGAAGACTTTCAACATGACTAGTAGTTTTGAAAATTGTAGTAAAATATGATATATATCACATGTATGTTTAACAGCATTAAGTGTATTCAGAGTGATACACAACTATTAACCTCTGTCTAGTTCCAAAACATGTCGCAAAACCAAAAGGAAACCCCATACCTATTAATTGTATGGCTATGTATTTAGCATATGAATAGATGAGCCTCTTTCTTCAAATCTTCTGAGCATTCATCTGAGAGATGAATTGGTAGAACGGATGGAACTCTATACAACTTATTCAGCCATAATTCTCACAGCCTCGATGCCTTTTACCCAATATGACCAAATCAGACAAGCATGTAGAGTGTCCTGCTCTACCATGCTCCACTGTATCACTTTGAGACAGAGCTCTCACCGAACCTAGAGCTTGCCATTTTGGTTAGGTTGGCTGCCTCACAGCTTCCTAAGATCTGCTTGTTTCTGCTTCCTAGTCCTGAGATTACAGATAAGTGCAGCCATGTCTAATTTTTACATAGGTGCTAGGGATCTAAATTCAAGTCTTCATGGTATTTGAGACTGCATTTTGACCTTCTGGGAGATTAGGCAGCTTGACTATCCTTCTCAACAGAAAGACGTACAAAGGTAGCAAAAGCAGAAATTTGGGGAAAAGATCATCACAAATATACCCAGAAGCTGAAATGGGAACATAAACATGTGCACACAGGTGCCCACCAATGCCAGAATTAGGCATCTGATCCCCTGGAATTAGGAGTTATAGGTGGTTTTGAGCTGCCTGACATGGGTACCAGGAATCCAGCTCTGGTCCTCTACTAGGTAAGAATAGCAAGAGCTTTTAACCATTGAGCCATCTCTCCAGCCCTTTAATAATCTTAAAATTGTGCTTTGGTGCTGGGACTGTTGAAGGGTGGTGGTGATGAGGGAGTAAACCTGGGACCAAGTGGAAACAAGACTCCAATAGGAAATCCCTGTGTAACACAGAGATTCGCACATTTCCCCTCCAGAGTAACAAGCAATGAAATTCCACCCTGCTACCCCCGTGGGAACAGGAAGGGCATTTACCCTGCCTCATTTCTGATTCTGGGTAAAGGTCAGATGTTTTTTAGAACATTCTAAACCACATCTCAGCTCTCCTGATGGCTGCTTATTTCAGTTCCCATTATGTATGTGATGAAAACCCACAAGCAGAGAGTTGAATTTAAAGTGATAATTTGGGGTAGTTCTTCAAGGAACCCAAAAGAAATATGTGCAAGTCCTCTCAGGATTACACAAAATCTCAGGATTCTACAAAAAGGGAGAGGGGACATAAAACATCCAAGGATAACAAGACACCCAAAATGGGAGTCAGAAGCAGCTATAATCAAATCATAAGACTAAAGAATGAGCCACTGGAATTAGTTGAAAATGAAGGTGAAGGAATTTTTCATGTTAAAATAATAAAATGGATGTCTGGGTAAGAATAAAAGGGTAATGAGGAATGTGCAATCAAAAGCTGGGAGAAAAGAAATGTTTTTTTTTTGTGAAATGGAAAATAGTATATTTAAATTTTATTGAACTTATGAGCACAGTAGCTAACAAAATGCAAATGCCTAGATAGAGTGTATTAAAGGTGAGATGAAGTTATAGTCTAAAATGTAACCCAAAAAAGGAGAGATCAGAAACATACAAAATAAGCTCAAAGTCATGAAGAGCGGAGTGAAAAGAGGCAGGAGTAGCTAGCTGTCCTCCATCAAGAGAAAAAGAGGCTGGAAGGTGGCTTAGCTGGTAAAGTGCTTGCCATACATGCACACGAAGACCCGAGTTTGAGCCCCACCATCTACCTAAAAGCTGGGTGAGGTGGTATGTGTCTGTTATCACAGTTCTGGGAGAGGTAGAGATTGGAGGATTCCTGGGGCAGTGGGTCAGACAGGCTGACTAACTGGGAACTCTATGTCACAGTTACAAAGCCTGTCTCAGAAAACACAGGCCGACAGCTGCTAAAGAATGATACCCAAAGTTGACCTCTAGACAGACAGACAGACAGACAGACACACACACACACACACACACACACACACTTACTTCAAGGAAACAATGCCTGAGAATTTCCTAGAATTACTGGAAGACTCTAATCCTCTGAGCAATAAACCCAATAAATGAATCTCCCAAGCAAGTACAATAAAACTACGGAAGACATGACATCTTAAAAGAGGTAAAGATAGGTTACCTAGAAAGGAATGGCAGAAATCCTCAGCATCCACCCTGGAGTCAGGCTAGGAATTTATAGCTACTAAAATTGCACTTTCACAGTAAAGGCAGCATAAAGATACGTCTAGGCCAACTGTACAACCTGAAAATTCAATTCGATAAAACCACAGTAGGAACCCAAACCGTAGTCATAGCAGCAGACAACTTGCCTTTCTGACACTGTCCATCTACCAAGTTTCCTTACTTAAACAGTTAATTGAAAAAAGGCTATAATTCGAAGGCAGGTAAACTTTTTGCCCCATAATCATTTTCAAGTATATACTATGCACATGCCAATTTCATGATAAGCCTTTTAAACTTTTAAAGGTGGCTTCTCAGAACATGAGACAGCTTTTTTTTTTTTTGTCTTCAAGAAAAGATGCTTGGCCAGATTATGTAAAATGTAGATATGGACTAATTTGTATTTATTTATGTGGTAAGAAACAGGAAGAGCCCCTTGGTCCATGGGAGACACTACAGTTTGTGGCTGAAGCTCTAAGTCCAGGTGTAACCCTATAATCCCACTGCAAACAGGCAGGCAGAAAGGCAGAGAGGCCAGGGAAGGAAAGTGAGCTCTGTGGCTCTTAGCACTGAAACTCATAAGACACCTGATCTGGGTGGAGTTCCAGCCATGTCAGTTCCTTGCTGGTTCATGCAACATTAGCAAAAGGGAAAGATTCCTGTACCAAATCCCCTGGGTCGCTATAATATTATCATTTCCTGAGAAAGCTGCATGTAACTAATTCCACATACATAATGGAGACTTGATGTGCCTCTAATAAAAGAGGTTAATAAAACAGATCACATTGAAATCGTAGGTGGAAAGAGCTAGAATAAAAATTATGTTTGATTGGTGCCTGTATGTGTGGAAGCCAGATCGTGGTATTGGGTGTCTTCCTCCATCACTTTCTACCTTATCCTTGGAACCAGGCCTCTCACAGAACCCCAAGTTCACTACTGCGGCTAGACTGGCTGGCTGGCCTGCAAGCCCTTGGAATTTGTCTGTCTCTGCCTCACTGGTGTTCAGAGACACACACTGCCACACCTAGCTTTTCTATTGGTGCTGGGCACCAATGTAAATA